ACCCAGGGCACCCCGGAGGCAAGCAGGGCGCTTCTTCTTGGCATGGGTTTCCGCTGCAACAGGGGGGGGGCTTCGCGAATCAGCTCACGTTCAGTCGGACCCAGACCAGAAGAACATCCCTCAAGTACATGAGGCCCTCCGTGGGCAAAAACAAACGGCACCTTCCGCAAAGTGCACAAGAACAGCTAGCAAGCAGGGAGACCATTAGGGTACCCTCCCCGAACAGACGTAGATCTGACACCTCGGTCCGTCTGTAGTACAGAAGGGGGTCACGAATCAGCTCACGTACGTAGCTGATTTCCCTGGCGCCGGGGGCGCCAGTGTATCGACGAAAGCGCCCTGCGGCGGGGCCGAAACCAGCTACACGCAAGAGATTTCGTAGTCACCCCCCCCCCCTCCCAGACATCTGGCTGCTCACATTTTTTCGATGCGTGGGCCCCGGAGGTCCAGACCACTTCCCCCGGGCCGGCCTTTCGTCCTGAGCCATTGTTTGGCGCTCCCGAGGCGCGGCGAGGGCCCCTGGAGGCCGAAAACTGCCAAAACCCCGCCGCTCCAACTTTTTGGAGCGTCGGATCTCTGGGCGCTCCTCCCCCCCCCCATTGGATTGCTGCCCAGCGAGGCGCCGTCGGCCCGAGTCCAGGGTCTTTGTGGCGGGCCGGGCAGGCAATGTGGGAGGGCGCGTGCGCGCTCGGCGCCCAACGTTTCGCGGCGCGCCGTGCTTGCTTTGCGAGTTCCCTGTCCTACCCCTTCCCAGGAGGAGGAGGAGGGGGAGGAGGAGGAGGAGGAGGAGGAGGAGGAGGAGGAGGAGGAGGAGGAGGAGGAGGAGGAGGAGGAGGAGGAGGAGGAGGGGGGGGAGGAGGGGGGGGAGGAGGAGGAGGGGGAGGAGAGGCGTTGGGGCCCGGAGGTCCCCCGAGGCCACGCCGAGCGCGGCCACTCTCCCCATGCTGTACCCTGCTCCCCACATTACATTGTGCGACATTCACTGTGTCCTTCAGGACTGCGGCATCGGCTTCCTGGACCACTTCTTCCTCGCCGACTTCGCCTACCACGACGTCCTCTACACGCCAGCGCAGTCCTGCCTGGCATCGACGACTACGACGGGAACGAGCCGACGCACGAGCACTACTACGACTGGGCCGAGCACGACAACTACTCGAAGTCCACCATGCGCCCAACAGCCACCCCGACCACCCGCCACCACCATGGCGCCCAAGATGGCACAGACTCCAGTTGGCAGCTACCAGGTTACCACAACAAACAGTGGCACCAGCAGCAGTACCAGCACCGACACCAGCAATACCAAAGGGGACACCACAATACCCTTTCGGACACAATGGCGCGCCCGCAGCCGTGACGACACCCGCGGCACGGGCAGCAGCAGCTCCATGGGACAGCAGCACCAGCAGCAAGCACAAAAGCAACAACAGCTCCGCCTCAACGTGCAGCGCAGAGGGGAAGAGAAAAGAGACGGCTGCCAACATCGTCCCCATGACCCTCACCGAAACCAGAAGACAACAACATTGGAACGAGCCACCCCCAATGCACCGCGTCGACAGAGTCAAGGAGTACCGCAAGAATTGCAAATCTGACATCGACTACCTCACTACCACCATCCAGCGGCACGCCAACGACGGCTACGACTTCGACGGAATCGTCACCAATATCGTCGACCAACGACGACCACAATACCTTCGAGCGCGAGACAAGCATCGAGATATCACCGACGCGGGAGCCAGCCTCACAGGGAGAGGCAACGCACAAGGAGGAAACCACACTATTGACCGCAATCAACAATATAGCCCACCCATCGGACAATGAAACGCCTACGAGCAGTGACGACACAACCACCAGCACAACGCAAGTAATCACACCCTCACAACTGACTCCCAATCAAGACCACCAAGCACTCCCTCATAGCGGGCACATCTCAAGAACGAAACCAGTGAGATGCAAAGCCCCACCTACCCTGCCGACCGTCAGAGAAGAGACAGCAGCACCGCCGGCTTGTATGATCGACTACGAGGGCAAGACCGCACAGCAGGAGCACGACTCATGGGAGCAACGCATGCCTATTACCGAATCCAGCAGCTCCGACCCGACGTCCAGCGACACCATCCCAGCTGCAAACGACAACCAACCACCTCCCATACAAGTCGAACCACAGAAGCCCACTGGATGGTTCCCCATCGCGACGATCACACACGAGAAAGTCGACCCCGACACAATCACCTTCCACATGGGAGCAACCATACGTCACCCGTACCACACCAAGCTGGAGGACTCCATCGCACGCGGCGCCATCACGGTGAACGAGGGCGACGAGGTCACAATCCTCAGCATGTCCTACAACAGCAATAACGACCTATGGGCACGGGGCACCGTCACTCAGACCAACAACATGCGAAGTACCACAAGCCCTGATCTCAGATACCATCACCGAAAACCGCACCCTAACACAACGACATCCAGGAGAAGCTCGACATCCTCACAGCGATTGCAGGGGGACACTATGTCAGCTACAACCAGGCCCTCGACATCCAGAAGGAGATCACCACGGCTAAGGACTCCGCACCCAAGTTCCTCGACAGCCTCGACGAGTCCATCAACCAACTGCGCCCCACGCAGGCCTGGACGGCCGAACGCGGTGCCCACGCGCCCGACGCCGTCATAACACAACCTACTATGCCCTTCCAACCTCCCCGACCTACGCTCCAGCCGACCTCTCCCGCTCACACTCTGACTCTCCATGACTCCCATGACTCGACCCTCTCCAAACGAACCAGGAACGCCCCACCTGGACGCCACTACACTGAGGCCATGCCTCAGGGTCGGACCGACCTTACAGCAGCTGGCCGTGCGACCCCGTCTCCTCCGAGCGCACCCACCCACTCATCTTCCTCGCATGCGTCAGTGTGCGGACGAATGGCCGCAATACCTTGGATACGGCGACTACTTCAATTGCACCGCCTACATCAATTTCGGGACCTGATTCCACCTTCCTCTCCCAACCTTCGCAACCTTCCTGGCCCTCGTGCGTCGCCCCACTAACCTCCCCCCCCTCCCTCGCGTGGAGTCGGGATGGGCGGGGGCATCATAGGGGGAGCTGGGAGAAAGGGCGTTCTGCGGCGGGCTCCTACCCACCCGCCCACCAGCGCCCAGGTTCCAGATCGCACTACCGTGTCTACTAGTACCTCTTCTTTTCACCTGTTCTGTCTCCGTGCCAGCGCAGCCTGCTCACCGAGGTTCTGCCCCGTCCGTGGCCAACTTCCCGGACCAAGGCACTTAGGCAACCCGTTGAGCCCACCTGCGCTGCCATGTCTACCAGTACCTTTTCTTGTCACCTGTTCTGTCTCCATTCCGGCGCAGCTTGCTCACCGAGGTCCTGCCCCGCCCATGGCAAACTTCCTGGACCAAAGCACTTAGGCAACCAGTTGGGCCCACCTTCTATGAGGTAGACGTTTACAGCAGGGTCGACTGGTCCCCCCCCTCTCCAAAAGAGCGACCCTGCTGCTAAGACCTCCAAAAGGGCTTTCCACTGTGGCCCTCTGCCTCCGCCCTAACAGCATGCTAAGCGCAGCTTGCCAGTCGACCCATTTAGGCACCAGGGCCCCCCCTTCCTCCTTCATGCTTCCCCACCCTCATGTCCTGGTGCCGTTGCCCTTCGCGTTTGCTCGACCTCACGTCCTCCGACCGCAATCGCCGCTGTACCCCGACCGTCGCTGTGCCCATGGTCATCTCACCCCCTTATGCACGATCCCCCCCTACCTCCCTCACGACCAGGCGCACGGCACGAATACCGCCTCTAGCGTCACGCCTTTGCTTTCGAGCCCGCGTACCCACCTACCCACCCACCTCCGCCGTTCTTTGCTCCTCTCCTTCTACACCTTCTTCTTTAGCAGCAGCAGCAGCAGGACCTTCCTCTTTCCTCTTCCTCGCGTCACGGCGACCAAACCACCCCAAGGACCTAGAGGCGATTCCCCTTCTCTCTCATTCTCTCTCCCTTTCCCCTTCCTTCCCCTTGCCTCGCTCTCCCGCTTCTGCCTCTGGGGGCTTGCCTTCTCGCCCTTGGGGTGGGTGGTTTGGCCTTCCGTCTGTGCTGTTTTACATCAGGCGCCTCACATTTCCCACACCTCATTCTTAAAGATCGGTTGCTCTCTACCTTATTTTCACCTTTTCCCTGAAACGTGCCCCCCCTCCCACCCTGGCTTTTGCCGGGTAGGAGGGGCTGGACAGGTTCGCATGGCGGCAAACATTCCGACCGCCGCTAGCAGCAGGAGGAGGAGGAAGAAGAAGAGGGGGATGATGATGATGATGATGATGATGATGATGATGATGATGATGATGATGATGATGATGATGATGATGATGATGATGATGATGATGATGATGATGATGATGATAATGATGATGATGATGATGCTGATGATGATGCAGGTGATAGGTGATAATGATGATGATGATGATGATGATGATGATGAGGAGGAGGAGGAGGAGGAGGAGGAGGAGGAGGAGGCGGAGAAGGAGGAGGAGGAGGAGGAGAAGGAGTAGGATGAGGAGGAGGCGGAGGAGGAGGAGGAGGAGGAGGCGGAGGAGGAGGAGGAGGAGGAAGGGGATCTAGGACTGAGGGTAGCTATGTTGCAGATTCGTACTTCCAGAAACCTCCAGGGAACTCCAGAGATCTCCAAATGCCCCCCCCCCCTCTCCAAAACATCTCCCCCTTTCGTCCGACCCGACCGCCCTGATGTTGCATCCTCGGGCGGCATTGTCTGTCCCGCCGTGGCCGTTATCCGCGTCGAATCCGTGTCGGGTCCATGCTGGACTCGTTGGATCCGCGTCGAATCCGCGTCAAAATCCGCGTCGGCTCCAGATCCGCGTCGAGTCCGCATGGAGCCCGCGTCGGGCACGAGAGAAAGCACCCCCCCAATGTGGGGGGACAAGCGAGGCCACCCGAAGATGCAGCGTAACCGCCCCTCCCCCCGCGAGCCAGCGGCCGCGGCGGCCGGAACTGCTTCGAGGCGGCCGGCGTCGCCGCCGCCGCCTCGGTGGCCCACGCGGCGCCCGCGCCCCGCGGGCGTGCCTGCCGCGCTCCCACAGCGGGCTTTTGTTGGGGCTCGTCCGAGCGGGCTGCGCAGGGCGGGATCGAATCGGATCGGATTGGAAACGGGCGGGATCGCCAGCGAATCGTCCAGAACCGAATCGAAATCGGCTCGCCGCGCCTGGCTCAGGCTGGCCTCGATCGGCGCCAGGGAACCGCCACGGATCGAACCGAATCGGAATCGAGGCCCTGGCCGGTGAATCGAATCGCATCGAATCGGATCGTATGCGGCCCTGGGGGGCCCACACTTTTACCATGCGAATAAGGCGCCCCACGGCTGAGGATAGAGGGAGGAGGGGGGAGGCAGAGCGGAGATGCACCGAATTAACTAATTAATCCGTCGGCCCGGGCTGGGCCTGCAGGCGCGCGCGCAGGGTGGCGCGCCAGGCCTCTGCGCCGCCGCTAGCGCGCGCAGCCGGCGTCAGCAGCAGCATGGATGACCGCGGGGGCAGCGCCGGTGCCCAACCCGGGCACGGCCTCGCCGACAGCTGCGCCCGCCACGCCGCCGAAGCGCCGCACCGCAGGCACGCCACCAAGCCGGGGCCCTGTGCCGCTGCGTGCACCCGCCACGCGGCGCCCGCGAACAGGGCGCGAGCGGCCTCTGCCGGCGTGGGTGGCACGACGACCCCGCTGACCTCAATGACTGCCTGTGTCCGCCAGTGCGGTGGCGGCGGCGGCGCAGGCGCCGCAGGCGCTGCGGGCGGCGGCCGAGCCCTGGCGGCGCGGGGCCCGCGCGCGGCAGTCCAGCGGCGGCGCACGCGCGGGACGCCAGGCCCACGGCTCTCGTGGTTAGCGCGCCAGGCCGCCAGTTCAACCGCAGCGAGCACGCGCTGTGCTGCGGTCAGCGCTGTCAGCTGGAAACCGCGTTCCAAGCAGAGCGCTGGAACCAGGCCCTGACCGCTGCGCCCGCCAGCCAGTCGGCGGCCGCGTTGCTTGCCCTGTCCTCCTCGGACAAGCACCGGGCGAACGCCTCCTCAGCAGTCGTGTGGCCCTTGACCCATTGCGCCGTGAGGAACCCGCTCCGGCTGTGCTCCGCGACGGGCTCCCAGAGATCGGAGTGCGCCCGCTCGAGGCATCACGCGCCGGCGCGGAGGGCGACCACGCCATTGCGGACGAAGCGGGAGTCCGTGTTGATCTCCACGGGCGCCCCAGCCAGGCTGACCGCTTGGACCGCGGCGATAAGCTCGGCACGCTGCGCAGTCTGCGCCGCGTCCACCGGGCCGCTGTGGTCGCTGGGCCCCTCCAGGCGCAGCCCCCACACCACCCTCGCCATCAGCGGGTCCTGTGGTCGCTCGCACGCCCCGTCAGTCCAAGCCCTCCAGCGCAGATGTGGCGGCGCGGGCGTCTGGGCAGCCGGGAGCGGCGCTGGCGGCAGGGCCCGGGCGGCCTCCTCGGCGAGGGCGGCGAGCCGGACGTCCGTCTGCAGCACGCCCGTATTCGCCACGCTGGGCGGCAACCGCGCGTGCAGCGCGGCCTGCGACATCCCCGCCGTCACCAGCGCGGCTGCCCCGTCGGCGCCCCAGGCCAGGCATGCTCAGAAGCGGATCGTAGGCAGCCCTAGGGGGCCCACACACCTCCCCACGCGCGGGGTGCCCTGTGCAGCGGCCACACCATGTAAGCACCCAGCCAGCCAGCAGGCGCCCCAGTGAAAAGCTCACTGCTCCTCGAGTGCCCTCGCGAGAGTGGCGTCCGGAGCCCAGAAAAATGCGAGGATGTCTTGGGCGAAGCGGACTGGACCCCCCTGCGCGAGGCATCTCGCAGCCCAGTCTAGAGGATGTTCCAAGCGACACGGACTGGTCCACATCGGAGCAGGGCATCTCGGAGCCCAGAGTTGCGAGGTCGCCTCCGGCGAAACGGGCCAGGCCACCAGGCGAATGGCGTTTCGGAGCCGAGCAAAAATGCGAGAACGTCTCAGGCGAAACGGGCCAGGCCACCTCAGAACAGGGCACCTCGCAACTCAGCATTACGAGGGCGTCTCGACCGAAGCCAGCTTGAGCAGCTCGGCGCTCTGAGGATGTCTCGGCCCGCCCGCCCCCCCTGGATGGACAGAATTCCGGCCACAGTGAGATATGCCAGTGAGCCCATCTGCACGTCCCTCGGGCGGGGACGAGGGGGAGGAGGGGGGATGAGAAGGAGGAGGAGGAGGAGGAGGAGGAGGAGGAGGAGGAGGAGGGGGAGGAGGAGGAGGAGGAGGGGGAGGAGGAGGAGGAGGAGAAAGAAGAGGAGAAGGAGGCGGAGGCGGAGGAGGAGGAGGAGGAGGAGGAGAGGAGAGGAGGAGGAGAGGAGGAGGAGAGGAGGAGGAGGAGGAGGAGGAGGAGGAGGAGGAGGAGGAGGAGGAGGAGGAGGTGGAGGAGGAGGAGGAGGTGGAGGAGGAGGAGGGAGGAGGATGATGATGATGAGGAGGAGGAGGAGGAGGAGGAGAAGAGGAAGAAGGAGAAGGAGGGACGAGGGAGGAATGAGGAAGGAGACGGGAGGAAACGAGGAGAAGGAGGGAGGAGGTCGGTGGAGGAAGCGCAGCAGGAGAAGAGCAGCAGGAGAAGCAGCATCAGCAGCAGCAGAGGGAGATAATGAGGAACGAGGAGGACAAGAAGGGTAAGGGGGAATACCCATCTGGCACAATCCCGAACTGACTGCCCCCCTCGTCACGAGGATCCGACAATGAAGCAGGGAGTTGCCAACAGAAGCGGCAGGGTGACCGCTCAAGAAACGACAGACATTCTGGACAGAGCCCGAGCGTGAGAGCCGCGTCCCAGGTGGAAAGCCGTGCGAGGAGGGACTTAGGTGACGATGAGGAGAAGAGAGCTAGGAAGAGGATGAGGAACATACGCCAATACAAATGCGACCGCGCTGAACGACGCGCGGAAATTACGGTCCCGGTCACTAAGCCAATGTGGTCCCCTTTGGGCGAAGGGTCGGGAACGGCTCAGGGACGGGGCTGCCTCCGATCGAAGCCGCAACACTTGAAGATAGAACCGCCAGGTCCATTCCGATGATCGAAGCTGTGCGCGCCGAATGTTGGCGCCACGAGGGCGACAATAGAAAGGCGGAGGGATGCCAACGACTGAACCCTCGCAAACCCTCGTATGCAGCCTCCTTCTCTTCATGGCCCGTCCTTGGCACCCCCGCCCATCGGGCCTCCCATCATCGCCTCCAGACTTTCGAACTCTGGCACCAATCCCATCCCTGTTTGATTGAACCTATCCCCGGGCACTGGCAAGACACTGGCAAGCCGAACATGTTCCGGCGACCTAAAACGTCGTTTCGCGTCCAGTGCCCTCTTCATCCTCCCTCTGCTCTTCCACGGAATCATCATCATCATCATCATCATCATCATCATCATCATCATCATCATCATCATCACCATCACCATCACCATCACCATCACCATCACCATCACCATCACCATCACCATCGCCATCACCATCACCATCACCATCACCATCACCATCACCATCATCATCATCATCATCATCATCACTCTCATCATCATCGTCATCATCGTCATCATCGTCATCATCGTCATGATCATCAACATCATCATCGTCGTCACCGTCGTCGTCATCGTCGCCATATCCGTCATCGTCGTCGTCATCATCATCATTACCATCAAATTCATCATCCTCATCCTCATCGTCATCCTCATCCTCCTCATCATCACCACCACCGTCATCATCATTATCATCATCATCATCATCATCATCGTCATCATCATCAGCATCATCATCATCATCATCATCATCACCAGGATCACCAGACTCACCATCACCATCTCCTTCGCAATCACCATCACCATCACCACAACCACCACCATCATCATCATCATCAGCATCACCATCATCGTCACCATCATCATCATCGCCATTATCATCCTCACCGCCATCATCATCACCACCACCATCATCAGCATAATTATCAACATCATCATCAGCAGCAGCATCCTCCTCCTTCCCCTCAGCATCATCAGCATCATCGTCAGCAGCATCATCATCATCATCATCATCATCATCATCATCATCATTGTCATCATCAGCATCATCATGAGCATGGTAACCATCATCATCCTCACCATCATCATCCTTATCATAACTCAGCCTCAATGTCAGCCTGATCCTACACAGCCTCAATAAGAACCTCCCTCTCTTCCTCTTCCCTCCTGCAACCGCATGGGGCGGCAGAGGGCGCGGTCCTGCGCGCTGCGCCCCTCGTGCCCTGCACCGTGGGGTACGCCACGCGCGGGCACGGCGGCCTGGCACGCGTGCTCCGCAGAGCCGCCAGCTGCGGCGGCGTGGGGTATGTCCTCGGCCTGCGGCCGGGTGATCTCGCAGGGGGGATGGAGGAGGAAGAGGAGGAGGAGGAGGAGGAGGAGGAGGAGGAGGAGGAGGAGGAGGAGGAGGAGAAGCAGGAGAGTCGACAGGCCACCACGGAGGAACTCCAAAGCGGCTCGCGGGATCACGCCATGCGCGCGTGGAAAAGCACGCCAATCCATCTCCAACAGGCGAGCCCAGTATCCAGCCGTGGCCCGGGAAAACGGCCAAAACGAAGCGCCGAGGTGGGGGAATCCGATCCGCAGTCGGTTGGCTGAAAGGACGCGGTGGGGTGTCTTTTGCATTCCCGCCTGCATCAGGCTCAGTGAGTCCAGGCGGCCACGCATTCTCGCCAGGCCAAGAGCTCGAATGAGCGATAGCTTCACCAGGGTGAGAGAAGGCCAGACGGTCCTGCATGTCCCTGGGTGCGAGGCTGAAGTGAGGGTCCGCAACGCAGATCTTAGCGACGCAATTCGGCCCTCGATCCACCCCGCGACCTCGACCAGCCGGCAATGTGACCAAAACAAGCGCTTGCTGTGATCCACCCCGCGCCCCGCCTTGCGACCCGCAAGCCGCGACGAGCCTTGCGATCCGCGCGCGGTTAACCTCGACGCCCGCCCGCGGGACCCGCCAACGACCCGCCCCACGACCCACCCATGATGTTTTTAAAAAGTGTGCCCCCCCCCGTGCGATCCGCCCATGCTGTTTTCAATGTTCGCCAGCGCGGGCCCAAAACACATTGGTTCTAGTAGTCGACGTTGTGCAATCCAAGTGGAGCCATACCGTCGGGGCGTTGACCCAAGGAACCCTAAATAAGGAACGAGGTCCGTTTCCCCCACAAGTTGAGCTTCGATGTCCCATGGAAGGCCTCAGGGAAACCGGAGGCAAACTGCAGAACAATCAAGGAACACCGAGGCCCTCCCCAACGAAAAAGGTTCCTTTTTTCAGGGCCCCGACTGTATATGTGGTGCAATCTACGTGGCGCAACCCACTCTGCTGAACTTGAAGTCGTCAACTCCACTGCTCACGCAAATATCCCACCTCCCACCCGCAACTTGTTTGGCAAAACTCATGATGCGGGGGACGGCGGCGCCACCGATGACGACATCGATGATAACATCCTCACTGCCGATGCTCGTCACCGTGAGTCGATGACGAAGGTGAGCATATCGACGATAGTCGGACGTGCGCGATGACAAGATGACGACGGCAACGTCTGCGACAATGACGAAGGTGGCACCAGCGACGACGATGTTCAAGAGGGCGACGGCACGAACGATAACGGCGCCAATGATGGCAAATACGATGGCGATGTTGATGTCCATTTGGTGATGAGGCAGGTGATCGCGGTGATGCTGATAAGGTTGAAAAGGAGATCTGCGCGCGCGGAAGTTCAACAAATTCGTCAGACTGATCATGCGCGCGCGGCGGTGCGCGCATGTGGCCTGCGTGGTATTCTTTTGCAAGGGATTCGCGCCCTCGGCGCATGACAGGAGTATCGCGGGTGCACCGCGCGGCGACATGAAATCGCTGGATTTGGCAGAAATCATAAGACTCCTAATAGCTTCTGCATGATTTTCGCATGAGCGCGCGGACAGGAAAATTGCAACAATTGTGTTGCCAAACCATTGTTTTTTTCCAGGGGGGTATGCTGACATGCTTGCAAGCACATTGTGTTTGATACGATTTTGGCATGGACGCGCGCGTGATGACTTTGTGGTATGTTGTAAGGGATTGCTGACATTTGCTTTCTTAAGATGCAGAAGTGTGCGCGCATAATAGGTTTTACAAATGATGGCAGGGGGGCGATACTGGCCTGGCTGGGATAGTACGACTTCGTATTTCAAATGGACGAGGGTGTTGAATAACTTTGAAACTGCAATACCCCAGGGGGAGCGTTATCTCCGGGGGTAATCGCTTCTTCTCTTAGAGAGGAAAATCACTACGATACGATCCATGTGGTTCAACCTATCCCGTGCGATCCATGTTGCGGACTCACCTTATGCAATCTATGTCGTGCGATCAACATTGTGCAATCCACGTTGTGCCATACGTGTCGGGCAGTCGAATGCAACCAGTGCGATACAATGTGCGCGATGTCATTTACATGATACGATCTATGTTGTGCGACTTGTTGGGTAAGCTCGGTGGTGCGATCTTTGTTGTGCAATATGTGTGGTGTAACCCATGTGGCGCGATATATGTGGTGCTATGTACGCGGTGCAATCAATTTCTGTTCGCAGTGAGTTGTCCACTCCACTGCTCGCGCACTCACCCCACCCACCCACCCGCAATGTGGTTTGCAAAACCCATGCGGCGGCGATTGCGATGGTGCTTGGAATTGGCAGGTGCATCTCTACGGCCGCGCTCGCCCGCGCATGCTCGCGCGCGCAGCGGCCAGCTAGTTTGGCATGTTCGGGGAACCGACGCGGCCGCGGTGGCGCTGAGCTGGGCACTTCCCAGCAGGCACTTCAGTCCGAGTCGGCGACTTGGGCGGGCGCGGTATCATGGCAATGTCGGCACCGGTAGATACGATTATGATGGTAGCGATGCTGGTGACGATGCTGACAAGGACGACGGCACGAGCAGTGACGGCCCCCATGTGGATCACGCCGACGACGATGACGGCGTCCTCGCGTCGGCGATGCATGTTTTGGAAGGAGTTTGACATGCGCGTGCGGCCGACGCGCGAGAGCGGGTCGCATGGCATTATTCGACACGGATCGCGTCCCCCCCCCCCAGCACGCGCGCAAAGGCGTTCGAATGATTTCGACGTGCGGAGCGACGTGCCCGCTTGGCCGAGTTAAATGAACATGGATATTTTTGGTAAGCAAAAATGGTTTGGAATTCGCAGTAACGCGAGCGCAAGCATGTTTGAAAACTGATGCTGCAGCACCATGTGTTTTAAAATGTGTCCGGTGCATTCGATTTTGGAATCCTTACGCAACGTGAGGTTGTTGACAGATTTCGACATGCGCGCGCGACGACGCGCGCGTGCGCACTTCGTCCCATGTTTTGCAAGGGATTGTTGCGACAGCACGCGCGCAAGGGCGTTCGAGCGACTCCGACATGCGCGCGCGAGAGGAGAGTTTGGTAGGAGGGGGAAAAAAACGAAAAACTGGTTGTTGCCATTAGAATTCGCAAGAGCCCGAGCGCAAGTCTTTTATTTGTTTTGATAATTCTAAGTGTAAAGGTATGTGTTTTTGGTTTTGTGCTTAACTATGTTTCGGGACACTTGATTTTGAAATCCTTACGAAATCGAGTTTTTTCTTTGATTCCAGCATGCGCGCGCGACGACGCGCGCGTGCACTTCGTCCATTTGTTGCAAGGGATTCCGACGACAACACGCGCGCAAGGGCGTTCGAGCGATTCCGACATGTGCGAGAGGCCTGTTCGGTAGCAATTTTTATACACAAACAAGCGATCGTGTTTTATAAAAAAGAATTCGCAAGAACCCGAGCACATGTTTTGTTTGAATCTTTTGTTGTGAAGACATGTGCTTCTATGTTTTCGGGGCGCTCGATTTTGAAACCCTTACGAAACGTAAGGTTTTTCAAGAGTTTCGGTATGCGCGCGCGACGACGTGCGCGTGCACTTCGTCGCATTTTTGAAAAGGATGTTTGAAAACTATTGATTTGTTGACAAACGGGTATGCGCGCATAGTGTTTTTTGCAAAAGGATGAGGGTGGGTGGCGATACCGGCCTGCCTGGCATGGTATGAGTTCATATTGAGGATGGACGATGGAATCGTTATGGGGCGGCGACGGGGCGGCATAGCCGCCAGACCGACAGACAGGCCCAGACGTCAGGCGGCGACGAGGCGGCGACTGGGCGGCGACGGCGGCCACATAGCCGCCAGACCGAAGACACAGCCCAGACGACGGGCGGCGACGAGGCGGTGACGGCGGCCGCATAGCCGCCAGACCGAAGGCACGGCCCACTTCCTTAGAACAGAAATAAGAAATCCTAAGTGCAAACGCTGTTTGGGGAAAAAGCACATCGTCGCCAGCGGCTGGCTGTTTCTTGAAATGACGCTGCAACACGTCACGGCGCGCACCCGCCATCCATCCGCACCAACCGCGACCCACGCTTCCCGCGCCTGCGACCCGGCACTCTTAACCCACAACTGCGGAGGCCAATGTGTTCCCCTCACGCCCGTTTGACTTCACCATCGCCTGATAGAATGTCTGGCTACGAATACATCACCGTGGCGACCAGTTCTTGCAATCTGCCTTCGCCACTAGCGCAGCAAGGCGGAGTAGTCAGGGCGGCGCATTTCGGAATATGAATACTCATACTACTCCGCGCGCGGGCGCATCCCGCTTGAGGGTGAAGCGCGGAGTAGTTTCTGATCCAGCGTTGGGGCTACAGAGTTATAAGCATCAGACGGATTGGAAACTACTTCGCCGAATGACGCCAGCATCATGTGGCGTTAGGAATCTTAAGACGGATGTGATATGTCCTCGCCGTCGCAAATCGATGAAACTTTTGTCACGGCTGTGTGCATGCTCTTCTTTGCATGGGTCCTCTGCATGGGGCCCATTACTTCTAGTGGGCCTCCTTACTGCCAGCCGCCCAATTCAGTCAGGGTATCCCTCGGGCGACCAACACGGATTAGCCCCCCCACGTGAAGGTCTTGGTCATCCCTCTCAGTTTCTCCCTCAGCCTCCACCCAAACCTCCTCCTCCTCCTCCTCCTCCTCCTCCTCCTCCTCCTCCTCCTCCTCCCCTCCCCTCACATCCCTCCCCCTCCCTCCCTTTCCTCTCCTACCCCTCCCGCTCCAGGACTCCCTCTTCCTCCGCCTCGTCTTGCTGCTCCAGCGCCCTGTCTTCCTCCCCCTCGCCTCGCCCCTCCTCCCCCCTCGCCCGCTGCTTCGTCCCAAGCGCGCCTCAGGCGGCGCTGGCGGCTGAAATCTTCGCAGCAGGGCTGCCAGCGGCTCCCCGCGGCCGGCGCCGCCACTGGCGCAGCCGACGCCGTCCGCTGCGGGCGAGCCAGGCGCATCGCGCGCGCGCAGCGCCACTGCAGCGCAGCCCGCGGGCGCACAGGGCCCGCTCACGCCGGCAACCGCTGCCGCCTCCCTCGCCCGCCGCCTCCTCCTCCTCCTCCTCCTCCTCCTCTCCTCTCCTCCTCCTCCCTCCGCTCCGCCTCCGCCTCCGCCTCGCTCCTCCTCCTCCTCCTTCTCCTCCTCCTCCTCCTCCTCCTCCTCCTCCTCCTCCTCCTCCTCCTCCTCCTCCCCTCCGCCGTGTCCGCTTCCAGCTCTGGCTGCCCCATGCTGCCCCTTCCCCGTCGGCCCTGGGCTGTGCCGAGCGAGCGGCGGGCTTGGGCACCTCGCCTCGGGGCGGCCCTGCGGGGCCGTGGGGCGCAGCGCGGCCCCCTCTGGTCCCCTGCCCCGTCCCCGCGGCCGTCCCGCCCCTCCCTGCGGCCCCAATCCCTGCAGCACCGAACGCGTGAGCGGCTCGGTGGCGGCGGCCCCCGCGACCTCGCCGCCCGCGGCGACGGCGCCGGCCTGTCGGGGGTCACGGCTCGGGGCTGGCAGCCAGATGCACGCCTGGTTTGCGGACAGCCCGACCGTGGCGATGCCTTCTTCTTCCTGCTGCTGCTGCTGCTCCTCCACCAGCTCCCCCTCCTGCCACTCCTCCTGCCCTTTCCTCGCCTCGTCCTGCCCCTCCCCCTCCTGCCCCTGCCCCTGCCCCTCCTCCTCCTCCTCCTCCTCTCCTCCTCCTCCTCCTCCTCCCCTCCTCCTCTCCTCCTCCTCCTCCTCCTCTCCTCCTCCTCCTCCTCCTCCTCCTCCTCCTCCTCCTCAGCCTGCAACAGACTTCACCTCTTCCTCCACCTCAGCCGCCTCGTTCTGCTGCTCCTCTTCCTCGTGCTGCTCCTATAACTCCTCGCTGTCGCCCCCCCAGACGTGTTGGTAGGGCGGGGTGGGCGTTTCGCTGGAGACTTCCTCACCACTAAAATTATACTGAAACTCAAAATTCGCAACAACTGCAATGATGAAGTGCACACTGGTTTCAACATGGGGCTCTCGCACGAATTAGAACCGCGCACATTCGCCTTACAAGCTTGCAGCAATTACCTGGATGGATGGCGGTTCCTTTTCGTTGTTGGTTTTTCCGCGTCCATGTCTTTCGAATGAATGCAATTCGAGCTCGCGCTGGGGAGAAGGAAGAGGAGGCCAATGGGCAATGACACTGTGAGACTGTCCCCTGTGGCCCGAGCAGTCACTCGTATACGACTACCAAAACCACAGAAGGGCAACCAAGGTTGGAGGATCGAGGGGGGCAGGGAGGAAGCGCGAACGGCAGACAGCAGCGGACAGGGGCGAGCACAGCGATTGAAACAACGCCCAGATCCCACCAGCCCTTTAGGCTAAGGTGGTCTAGCGAGTTCCTAATTTCCTCTTCCACAATCCCTCTTCCATTCGGGGAGGGGTACCCTTCCCCTCCCCTCCCTGAGCTTTTTGTTTGGGGGTTCGCGATGTGTCAGGGGGCCCTTTTTCGCTCAAGATGGCACCAAGAGGGCCTCCGATACTCTAAGACGGTCTTCAAGATGGCCCAAGATAGCTGACGATGGCTCAAGATGGCTTCCAATATGCCTTCAAGAAGTCCGACGAGGGACACAAAACGGATCCAAGCGCTCTCGGAGCTTCTTCAGGACCCCCCCCCAAGAGGCCAACATAAACACCTAATTAAGGGGAATCACTGATTTGTGCCTTCTCGCCTTTTCGCTTCCGATGCGCTTTTGAGGCCTCAAGATGGCCCTGGGATGGCCCAAGATAGGCCCAAGAAGCCTCCCAGACGGCCCCAAGAGCGGCCCCAGAAAGTCCCAAGAATGCTCTGAGAGGCGATTTTGATGACCCCAGGTGTGGGGGGGAATTGGAACCCCGCCCCCAGGAGATAACCCCAAGAGGAACTCCACGACTCCCAAGAAGGCCCCAAGAGGGTCCCAAGAGGGCCCCCAGACGGCCCCAAGAGCGCCCAAGAACGCCCCAAGAGCATCCCACCAGGGCCCCAAGAGGCGGTTTACCTCTTCCTCCTCCTCCTCCTCCTCCTTCTCCTCCTCCTCCGCCTCCTCCGCCTTCTCCTCCTCCTCCTCCTCCTTCCCTTCCTTCTCTTCCTTCTCTTCCTCCCCCTCCTCCTCCTCCTCTTCCGCCTCCTCCTCCTCTTCCGCCTCCTCCTCCTCCTCATCCTTCTCCTCCTCCTCCTCCTCCTCGTCCTGCTCCTCCTCTTCCTCCCCTCACCCCCCGCGGGCCTCAGGGATGGCCTGTAGCGGCCCTCCAAAGCTACGGGGAAGCTGGTAACACTAAGGGCTGGAAACACAACGGACAAAGTGGTTAGAGTAGAGGAAATCGCGCTCGCGCCGGCCTGCGAAAATAACAAACAAAGGGAGCCCGCGCCCCGAACGCAAAAACATAGAGACCTCATGGAAGCCCTAAAGAGCCCCAACCGGCCCGACGGCGATCTCCGCGCAGGCAAAGGCGAACCGCAACGAAGGCGGATGGGGCTGGCCCAACACATGGAAAACACATAGGCGTCGAACCAATCCTGCGGGGCTCCGCTCGGGCCGATGGCCAAAAGCACAAAGGGCCGCCCAAAAGCAAACAAACGCGAGGGCCCGCGTGGTCAACAGGGGGTGCCCTCGCCTAAACAAAAAAAAACAGCAGGGCGCCCCGCAGAAATAAAACAAAGATCGTGTCGCGGCCTCGGCCACCGCGCCCGAGCCGCGGACTAGAAAACACAGAAGGCTGGCGCGCAAACAACAAAACAACGTTTTCATGTAGGCGCCTGAAGCGGTCGACCCAGGCCGAAATTGGAAAGACAAAGACATCACCCGAAACCAAAAAGAAAACCTGGCGTGGCGTCGAGAGCGCCCGCGCGAGCCAACATTGGGTCAGTCAACCTCAGAAAAGCAGCGGGTGACACGTGTCACCCCCGAAACCGTGTGAGAAAAACTAATTGTAAAATCATGTTTCTGGGGGGGGCAACATGGTGGCAATCAGCCTCAGAAAAGCAGCGGGTGACACGTGTCACCCCCGAAACCGTGTGAGAAAAACCAGTTGTGCAATTATGAATCCGGGGGCCAACATGGTGTCAATCAGCTTCAGAAAAACAGTGGGTGACACGTGTCACCCGCGAAACCGTGTGAGAAGAACCAATCGAACAAATTACGATTCTGGGGGGCAACATGGTGTCAATCAGCCTCAGAAAATCAACGGGGGACACGTGTCACCATCGAAAACGTATGTGAGAACAACCATTTGTAAAATCACCCCCGAAACCACGTAGAAAAAACAAGTATAAAAATACGATTCTGGGGGACAACATGGTGTCGATCAGCCTCAGAAAAGCAGCGTGTGACACGTGTCACCCCCGAAACCGTGTGAGAAAAGTCAATTGTAAAGATATGTTTCTAGGGAGCAACATTGGGTCAGTCAGCCTCAGAAAAGCAGCGGGTGACACGTGTCACCCCCGAAACCGCGTGAGAAAACCCGGGGACCATTATGGTGCCGTTCAGCCTCAGAGAAGCAACGGGTGACACGTGTCACCCCGAGACCGTGTGAGAAAACCAATTGTAAAATTAGGATTCTGGGGGGCAACGTGGTGTCAACCAGCCTCAGAAAAACAACGGGTGACACGTGTCACCCCCGAAACCGTGTGAGAAAAAACAAACATAAAATTATGATTCCGGGGACCAGCATGGTGTCAATCCACCTCAGACAAGCAGCGGGTGACACGTGTCACCCCCGAAACCGTGTGAGAAAAACCAGTTGTGCGATTATGAATCCGGGGGCCAACATGGTGTCAATCAACTTCAGAAAAGCAGCAGGTGACACAAGTCATACCCGAAACCGTGAAATAAAACCGCTGCAACTGCTTGGACCATGGGACATTGGGCATGGGGCACGGGGAGGGGCCTCCCCCACACGGCATGGGGGACGCCCAATGGGGATGGCGCAGGGTCTATGGAGCACGCCCCGTGGATGCATGGCCAATGATGGAGCATGGGCGACGCCCCATGGGGCATGGGTATGCGCAAGGGACAGGGGGGTGGAGGGGGGACGGGGGTGCATGGAGCATGCCGCCTGGGGTATGAGGCATGGGGCATGCCCCGTGGCGCCATGGAGCTTGGGGCATTCACCATGCGGCACGGGGTACGGAGTTCTCAGGGGGGGGGGGATGGGGAATGGGACATGCCCGTGGGCCATGGGGTATGGAGCATGACCTATGGGGCATTGCCTACGTGCGTACGAATGCGGCAGGTGGCCTGGGGTACGCTGCATAAGGATCACGGTGCGTGGGGGACGGGCAAGCCCCGTGGGGCGGCATGGGATGAGTATGGATGAGACATTGGGCATGGGGCGCGCCCCATGGGGCATGGGGCAGGCCCCATGGTGAACAGGGCATGGGGCACGCCCCATTGGACATTCAGCATGCGGCATGCCGCATTGGGCATGCCCTTGCGGCCCGCGACATCGCCCTCGCGAATAAATGACAAAGTAGTTGGGGTCGCCACGTGGGGCAGCTGTATGGCCGAATTGAAGGGACACAACAGCTCGCCCAGCGGGAAAAAACATAAAGATTTTGACGTGGCCTAGCGGAGCACCATGCAAGGCTAAATTGGTAAACACAATCGTCTGCCCGCGAACAAAAACATAATGTTTTTGGCGTGACCGCGCGGGCCCGTCGCCCTTCCCGCAAGAACAAACACAAAGGCGCGCCTAGTACCGAAAAACACAAAAGACTCCGGGGCAGCCACGGTGGCAACCGCGCGACACAAAAAAAAAAAGCAACGCCGTGGGCCAATGCAAAAAAAACACAGACATCGCAATGTACCGCGCGACCCCCCCCCCCCGCGCGAGCCACTGCAGAAAAATAAATATGCCTGGCCGCCGCCGAGCAAGAAAACGCCGTCGGCGCAAGCCATTTGGGCGGCCTACCTAAGCCAAACGAGGAGCGGACGGGAACACAAAGATGGTTGCTAGGCTTTGGCGGGCGCGCGCAGGGCCCTTGGAATGAACACACAAGCGGATGGTTACAAAGATGAGTTTCACTAGCCCGTTTCAAGCTCGGTGCGGCCCGACGAGAAAAACGCAACCGGAAGCCCGGAGCATGCAACACAACCGGGCCCGGCCCGCATATATGTTTCAGCTTCCCCGTACCCACTTACTCCCAAAGATTTTTTTTTGTCTCTCTCTCTCTCTCTCTGTCTTCATCCTGGTTGTCCGCCTCATTTCACTATGCGAGTCTCTTCGCTTCTTTTCCTGTCAGCTCTCGAGGCAACATTTCTGAACGGGCTGGTGGGGATACTTTTGGTCAACAGGCTCCCGAGGCGGGTCGAAAGCCGTCAGAACACTAGTCGGGCCGCGACTAGGCAACAGGAAAAGAAAGGCAAGGGAAGCGAGCGAGCGGGCAGCCGCTCAGAAAGAGAACCAGAACCGATAGTCCCAAACCCGGAGGCTGGTGGGGATACGCGAAGCGTGACGAAGTTTTAGCATCCCGAGTGTAG